CTTGGTCTGATTCAAGCGAATGAACAGCATGCGTTCTGTTTCGATTTTTGCATACATTTTCATAACGTAGTGGTGAAACAATTGACGGCATTTTAAAAGGGGATTACGTACATTTAGTCGAATCATAAGTCGGTAGGAGTAGTAGTTCATTGCGCTGCAATTCACGCGCGTTTCCTCGTCACTGAGTGGATTTATCATCTTAACGTTGAAGTAATATATACCGGCGCCATCCCCAAAAGTAAATGGATACTGCAGGGCGGCGTAGCGCCGATGAGTTTCTGCAACTCTTGTCATTTGATCGTTTCGCCAATGAAGAACAATATCACTACGTTGAAATCGGTCTCCGACCATGGCGATTGCCACTTCGTCTATAGTAGGGACATTGAATCGTCGTCCATGTTGTCCAGTAGGCGTCTTCTCTGCATGAATGACAATCTTGTGCGTATCTGATAGCATCATGGAAATTGCGGTTTGGAACCTACGCAGTAAGTTTGTGCGTTCATAAAGAAGCTCTTGCAGTTGAGAAATGATGAACCGTGTCATTCCGGTGGAAATTCCACAGCGTGCATTCGATTCGTCAGATCCTTAAGTATGCGGATGACAGAAAAACGATGTTTGCCAAACGACGAATAGACAAGCGATAATAGAGATAGTTTCCTTGTAAGAAATGCACAATGAATGAGATTATGGTGCTACCGGATTAGGTCACGGGTGGCGGATTAAATATAAACAGCGGAATAAACAACACTTTTGGCATAAATGGAAGAAAATTTGGGAAAACAATTAGAAAACAGTAAATAAACGCACTGCGGAGCACTTCCCGAGCTGAATGTACTGGACAAATCGCGAATGAAAATTTAAAAAGAAAGACTTTTCCCCACTGATTCTCTCGCTCCCACCGGAAATGACACTGAACATTTGCTGAAACATGCACAGAAAATTTCAAAAAATGGACTTAATTATATGAGAGCAAGGCCATATTTTAGAACAGAGAGCAAGTGTTTGCCTGAGCGCACTTCATATCAGGCTGCCAGTGTCGGCCCACCGCCAACGCAGTATTAGTGTAAACGTTCCTCGTCTATGCGCTCCTGTCTTCAAACTCAGGAGGTACGTCGGCCACCATCCAGTTTACAATTACGCCCCCGATAGCAGTGTCGATAATGAAGTCCGCACGCAATTGGAGGCACGCCCACATGCAAGATGGTCTATTTAAGTCAAATCGCAGACCGACGGAGTGTGAACCCACATTGCGACCTACCTGATCATGGCCAGCCTGTCGTTGGTACTGCTATTTGCTGTTGCCCACGCTCTCGTGTGCCAGGCGTCACCGGCCTACGAGATTCTGGAAGCCGATGACGAGGAGGGTCTGAGTGAGGGTCTGAAATTGGAAGGACCAGAAGAGCAGGAGGCGATGCAAGAGCAGGCGGAGGAGGAGGATGAGAAGAGGTCAAGTGAATTGAAGGCAGATGCTGAGGAGCTGGAGACTGGGTTGTTTGAAGGTGTTTTGGCTCCTGCGCGCAGTAGACGCGGCATAATATGCGTTCGCGTTTGTTCTCGCAGAATTTGCAGAGTTGCCTGTCGACGTGTTTAACCGCGCTCACACACACACACACTTACAATAAAGATCCTATTTTGATTAATGAGCCATTTCTTTGTGCTGCGTGCGTAGATGCTCGGGCAGTTCGGAGGGGCATTGCGGAATGAGTAGGCTGCAATCAGATTTGTTTCGGTTGAACTAATTAGCCAAAAGCAAGGAGATGGGGCATGCCACCTTCAACTCTTCCCGAGTGTGAATTGCATCAAAATCACAAGCTTGTCCTTTTCACTGATTAATCGATTTGATTGCAGTCCTCACCAAAATACCATGCAGCCTTGATGCATCTCTGCATGGAACATCATCTTCCCAATTGAGCTCCGGAGAAAGTTTAGTAAAGAAGACGAAAGAGAGAGGAATCGCTCCGTGTAATTTTGTAGATGAACGTAAAGATATCCGTGCGGCGGTTATCATTAGCGTTTATTTGTTGCAGCTTGAATGTGGATGCCACACCATTGGAGGACTAGGAGACATTTGCTGTCAAGTTTAATGATGCATCGAATGACCTTGAAGCAACATTAGATCGGCCACAGACACCGCCACACTGGCAAGTCTGTTAGGAATCTGAGATCGATTAGGATGCAGGGAGGCGGAGCATAATGTTTTATAGAAATGAAATTTTAGACTTCAAATACATAGGTGCACCAGTGAACGATGAGAGCAATGACGATGGTTTCGAAATGAGTGAGCTCATAGTGATAGTGAACTTGCGCAGCATCAAGCACACCCTCTGCCCCCTCACACTCCTATGCCTCAATGACAAGATCCACACAGGAAAACCGGACACGGGAGAGAGCGTAGTGGATTAAAATGGTGAAGAGCGTGTCAGTGCTTGTCACATAGACCTGCTCCGCGCACAATGGTCTGCGTCTTCACTCAACAAGGAAGGTTGGTTCATTCCAATTCAACTGAGTATCAGTGTCATAGCTGCCATAGAAAGAAAGAACCATTGCAGCCTGAATCTCCGTTCTGACATGAGGATTCAGTTATACCGTCAGATGTCAGCCTTCCTAGCTACGGTTCCTAGATCACAGTGATAGATTCAAGCGTATCGGAATCTGTAGGGGTAGGAATATGTGTGCTCTGTGACAGTCGACTTCATTCCCTCTTCCCTCTCCCGGACACCAGTCCACTGTCAGACCTGGCAAGTCCGCCAGTCAACATATGCCTGCATTGGGCGCAGTGACTGACAGAGCTAGACAGTCCGAAAGCGTGTGCCACACAAACACAACCTGGCCATCCACACAACTCATCAGGTTTCCACACAAGACTCTGGGCTCCTCGCATCACACATGCGTGAGAGCACAATAGATGCCACATTATAAAGGATTCTCATGTCACGATTGCCAATTTCGACCGCCGGAAAACGCGCGTATTGTGCATCCCGTGTTTCGGCAAGATTGTCAGTCCGTATAACCAAAGTCGAGCCAGAGGTTCGGCAATTTAATTCATGGCTCCATTGATGCTGCCACCTCTCCTCTCTTAGACAGTCGTGTGTCTGTAATGCTATTCTCCCTAAATGGGGTGTAGGTGTGTCAGCGGTGGGTTCACGTAATGGTCGTGGTGGTCGCTCACTTGCTTGCAGGTGAGGCTGCGCCTAGCGTCCACTTGCTGGCACTCAACTCTCACCTGTGGCTCCACGTAGCTGGGCTCTGCTCAGCGGCCACACCCCGGGCAACCGTCTCGTCCGGCGGGCTAAACCAGGTGAGGGGGCCCTGTGCGCTGTGCCGTGTGCACAGGGTTTGCGGATTCCGCTGGATGGAAGGTCGGATGGAGCCTTGCGTCGGCACCGTCGTGACGTGGTTCGTCTCTGCACGTCGCTTGACAGCCGGTGACGGGATGGATCTCCACATCGACATCGCCTTGACGCGCCCACCCTCGCCGACGGAGACCGCGGCTTGCGGCGAATTCGAATCGCTCTCCACTACAACCCGAAGTCGTGGTCCCATAGTGGAGTTCGGCCGTGCCACAACGGCACATGGCAGCCCTATTCAGGGATGGCACTGCCAGCCCCCACGAGGGGAAGGGCCTAGAAAAGGTGGCCTAAACATTGCTGGGTACCACGCCGTCTCCAGGCTAGCCAGGGCCGCAGACGTCTAAACATGATCGAAACAATCAAAATCGAAACAACAACAATACCAATAACAACAACAACCATACTCATTCTCCTCATCCTACCTCTTCTTCCTCTACCTCCGTCTATTCTTCTGCCTATTCTTCTCCTTCGTCACCTTCTTCTCGATCTCCTTCCCGTCGCCCCACTCGTTGTCACCAGACTGGCAGGGTGAGCGCGCTCACTCTGGCAGCCTGGAATGTTCGTTCCCTTTTAGACAATCCGAGGAGCAACCGACCGGAGCGGAGGACGGCGCTAGTGGCACGAGAACTGGCGCGCTACAAGGTGGACATCGCCGCACTCAGCGAGACCCGTTTCTCCGAACAAGGCCAACTGGAGGAGGTGGGTGCCGGTTACACCTTCTTCTGGAGCGGTCGACCCAGGGCAGAGCGACGAGACGCGGGCGTCGCCTTCGCCATCCGGAACGACATCGTCGGACGACTGCCCTGTTTGCCGCAGGGCATCAACGATCGCCTGATGAGCCTCCGCCTGCCTCTCTGGGGAGGCAAATTCGCCACCATCATCAGCGCCTACGCTCCGACGATGACCAACCCCGACGCCGTCAGAGACAAATTCTACGAGGACCTGCACGCCCTCTTGGCGACTGTGTCGAAGGCGGACAAGTTGATTGTCCTTGGCGACTTCAACGCCCGCGTCGGCACAGACCATAATGCCTGGAGAGGAGTGCTGGGTCCCCACGGTCTCCGCGGCTCAAACGACAATGGTCTGCTGCTTCTCCGCACCTGCGCAGAACACCGCCTCATCCTGACGAACACGTTCTTCTGTCTGCCGGAGCGAGAGAAGGCCACCTGGAGGCATCCCCGGTCGCGTCAGTGGCACCTGCTGGACTATGTCCTCGTCCGGAGGCGAGATCAGCGGGACGTGCTGGTGACGAAGGCGATCGCGGGTGCTGACGGGTGGACCTACCATCGCCTCGTCATCTCGAAGATGCGTATTCGCCTACAGCCTCGCAGGAGACCACAAGGTAAGCGACCCCCAGGTAAGCTGAATGTTGCCTTGTTGTCTTTGCCCGCTCACCACCTTCATTTCAGCAATGAGCTAGCTCAACGGCTAGACAACCTTCCTATCGCTGCCGACGCCGCCGCTGCCGAGAACGCCTCCGTGGAGAACCGCTGGTGTCAACTGCGAGACACGGTCCAGTCGACGGCGCTCGCCGTCCTCGGTCGCGCTCCCCGCCAACACCAGGACTGGTTCGACGACAACGACGCCGCCATCAGCAATCTGCTGCTGAGAAGAACCGCCTACACAAAGCCTACGTAGATCACCCCACTGATGCCACCAAAGCTGCCTTCTACCGCAGTCGCCGCCAACTTCAGCAACGACTGCGCGAGATGCAGGACGCCTGGACTGCTCGCAAAGCTTAGGAGATCCAAGGGTATGCGGACCGCAACGAATGGAAGAACTTCTTCTCTGCGATCAAAGCTGTCTATGGTCCGCCGACGAAGGGCACCGCTCCTCTCCTCAACGCCGACGGCAACACTCTCCTGACTGAGAAGACGCAAATCCTGCAGCGATGGGCCGAGCATTTTCGAGGCGTCCTCAACCGCCCCTCCGTCATCTCCGACGCCGCCATCGAGCGTTTGCCGCAAGTGGAGACCAACGTGGACCTCGACCTCCCGCCATCTCTCCAGGAGACCATCAGGGCCGTGCAGTAGCTCTCCAGCGGGAAAGCACCCTGATCGGACGCGATCCCTGCTGAGGTCTACAAGCACGGAGGTCCCCAACTAATGGGTCACCTGACTGCGCTCTTCCAAGAGATGTGGCGTCAAGGTGAAGTCCCGCAAGATTTCAAAGACGCAACCATCGTGCATCTCTACAAGCGCAAAGGGAATCGCCAAGTCTGCGACAATCACCGCGGCATCTCCCTGCTGAACATCGGCGGGAAGATTTTCGCTCGCATCCTGCTCAACCGCCTCAATAACCATCTCGAACAGGGCCTTCTGCCGGATAGCCAATGCGGCCTCCGTCGTCATCGTGGGACCACGGATATGATCTTCGCCGCCCGTCAACTTCAGGAGAAGTGTCAGGAGATGCGGACCCACCTGTACTCTACCTTCGTGGACCTGACGAAAGCCTTCGACACGGTGAATCGTCAAGGACTGTGGAAGATCATGCAGAAATTCGGCTGTCCGGAGCGGTTCACTCAGATGGTGCGTCAGCTGCACGACGGTATGATGGCGCGAGTCACGGACAACGGAGCTGTCTCAGAGGCATTCACAGTGACGAATGGAGTGAAGCAAGGCTGCGTACTGGCGCCTACCCTCTTCAGTCTTTTGTTCTCTGCCATGCTGATGGACGCCTACCGCGACGAACGCCCCGGGATCCGCATCGCCTACAGGACGGACGGTCACCTCCTGAATCAACGGCGGATGCACTTCAAATCGCGCGTATCCACAACCACCGTGCACGAACTCCTCTTCGCCGACGACTGCGCCCTGAACACCACCTCGGAAGAGGAGATGCAACGGAGCATGGACCTGTTCTCCGCCGCCTGCGAGAACTTCGGTCTGGTCATTAACACGCAGAAGACGGTGGTGATGCACCAACCGCCACCCAACTCGGCCACAGCCCCCAACGCGCCGCCGCAAATCAGCGTGAATGGGACCCAACTGCAAGTGGTGGAGAACTTCCCGTACCTGGGCAGTACTCTCTCCCGCAACACCAAGATCGACGACGAAGTCGCCAACAGGATCTCGAAAGCCAGTCAAGTCTTCGGTCGCCTCCAAAGCACAGTTTGGAATCGTCATGGTCTCCAACTGAGCACGAAGCTGAATATGTACAAGGCCGTCATCCTGCCGAAGCTACTGTATGGAGCGGAGACTTGGACGGTGTACGCAAAGCAGGCACGTCGTCTGAACCACTTCCACCTCAGTTGTCTTCGTCGCATCCTGAGGCTGAACTGGCAGGATCGAATCCCCGACACTGATGTGCTGGAACGGACGGGAATCCTCAGCATCTATGCCATACTAAGGCAAATTCAGCTGCGCTGGAGCGGCCACCTTGTGCGCCTGGACGACGAGCGACTACCCAAACGACTCTTCTACGGAGACGTCGCGACGGGTTCTCGCCGTCAAGGAGGCCAGATTCGCCGTTACAAGGATACCCTGAAGTCCTCCCTGAAATGCCTGCAAATCAACCCCACCAACTGGGAGGAGCTCGCACTCGATCGACCGACCTGGAGGAGAACAGTGAAGACAGGTGCTGCGATCTACGAAGCCAACCGCATCGCTGCCGCCAAAGCGAAACGTGAAGCCCGCAAATCACAACTTCGCCCAGTAAGCAACGCCGCTGCACAACCGCTTCCAACGTGTCCTCGATGTCAACGGACATTCCGGGCTCGAGTCGGACTTGTTGGACAGTCGACCATGACAGCCACCGCGCCCATTCCCAACTCCAGTCTGCTGACCGGCTCGGACAGCGGCTGGGGTGTGGGAGTGGGAAGGGAGAGTGAGGTCGACGACTCAGCGCACTTCCTCCTCACTATAAACAATCTGACGCGCTTGAAGCTATCACGGTGCGTTAAAAGCCGTGGCTTGGAAGGTTGCCAACTGACGGGGTACCTTGGACCTCCTCCTTGACCGGAGGCGGTCTGAGAGTCAGGCTGCAATGGCTCCTTTTTAATGTGGCCTTTATGGCACTCCCATCACAGTGTGGGATCCGAGGCAGGCGTTGGCGGCACGCCCAGGTGCGGCTTCGTTCGTGCCAGCCTCCAAATCTCTCTTGTGTTGGTTGAAATCCTGGTTATTTGTTGTGTGGGACAGGGGGTGCGGTGGAACGCCAAGGTGAGAATCCGTCCGAGCCATCCACCTGTGGCCTCTCTCGTCTCCGGTCTTCTTGACACTGTTTTGACACCGGGCTCGGGCGAGGCAGGAGGAGAGAGTGTAGGTAGATGCTACGCAAGTCTACCGGCACTATAAACCCCTGCGTAAGTCACCGTCCCTGCTCCTATTGCTGCTGCAACTGTGGGGCACACGGTGGACATCATCGAAACCGATGGTCGAAATGGCACTCTCCCTAAATCATGATCATCCGGCGATCTAAATGCTAAAAATAACCAAGTTGTGAGCGATGGCCTTCGAAAAGCCAGCTTCTCTCAGAATTTTTCCAAAGTGTCTACACCGCCGAACCACGCCTCCAGTCCTGTCCACTGTCAGTGGATTAAAATGGTGAACAGCGTGTCAGTGCTTGTCACATAGACCTGCTCCGCGCACAATGGTCTGCGTCTTCACTCAACAAGAAAGATTGGTTCATTCCAATTCAACTGAGTATCAGTGTCATAGCTGCCATAGAGAGAAAGAACCATTGCAGCCTGAATCTCCGTTCTGACATGAGGATTCAGTTATACCGTCAGATGTCAGCCTTCCTAGCTACGATTCCTAGATCA